TTCTGGGATGGCTGGAAAGGAGGAATTGGTTGGTCCTGGAAGGATGGACCCTACCCCTCCATCCTCCACATCCCCATCCCATAGGCTGAGACATCTTTCTAGCCACACACCTACTCACCGACAGTAACATTTTATTACACGTATCTACGTTTACATTCGTATCTTTTCAGAGCTGTGTACATTTTCCTCCTCTCTTCAGATGCCATCTTTGAGAGCAGCAGGGAAATAAAAGAATAATCTGAGAGACTGAGAATCTTACCTTGAGATATCAAGTATGGATCTAAATGGGCACTTTATTAGACTAGACTAAATCTGTTATTATTCCTTACTATCCAGCAGGTAGGTGCTCATGAAAATGATCCAATCAGTTAATAGGAAAATAAAAAAGCTGCATATTCTCTGCAAACAAACAAAAAATCCCAATACCCAGGCTGCACCTTAAACCAATTAAATCGGAATGTCTAAGGATGGGGCCCAAAAATTAGTATTTTTTTAAGTTTCCCAGGTGATTTCAATTCGAGCCAAGGTTGAGAACATCGTAAAGAATGCTCTCCGATAAATGTCAATATCCAATTTCCAATCTGGAAATAAGCATCAAAAGCCTTCCTTAGAAAGGTTTGTTAGCCTTTGAACCAGTGATTTCACCTCTCAGAATTTACCTGAAGAAAATAACAAGTGATATAAACAATGATTAACGTGGAAAGAAGTTTATCACAGCATTATTTATAAGAGCAAATAAAAAAATTGTGAAGGAACTCAGAGGAAGAGAACTCCTAGCTGCTAGGGGGTGGAGTAAGGTTTCGTTGCATCTTAAAGGATGAGGGTGAGTTTGCCTGGATGAAGAGAGGGGTGGCATCGGGAAAGGTCAGGAGAGAGGTGCTAATACATGTTTTAACCCAGACACTGGGGAGTCATATTGTCTAGACAGTGCAAGCCAAATATCAGAAAGAAAAGGAAAAAACGGGAAGGATTCTTACTCCTCCAGGACCAGGAGACCCAATGAGAGCAATTAGGGCCCCAGAACAGGAACAGGGGAGGCTAAATGCAGTGCTTTTCAGACTTCATTACCCACACGAATCACCCAGGATCTTGTTAAAATGTAGATGGCCGGGCGCGGTGGCTCACGCCTGTAATCCTAGCTCTCTGGGAGGCCGAGGCGGGCGGATTGTTTGAGCTCAGGAGTTCGAAACCAGCCTGAGCAAGAGCAAGACCCCGTCTCTACTAAAAATAGAAAGAACATAATCGGACAACTAAAAATATATAGAAAAAATTAGCCGGGCATGGTGGCACATGCCTGTAGTCCCGGCTACTCGGGAGGCTGAGGCAGGAGGATAGCTTGAGCCCAGGAGTTTGAGGTTGCTGTGAGCGAGGATGACGCCATGGTACTCTAGCCTGGGCAACACAGTGAGACTCTGTCTCAAAAAAAAAAAATGTAGATACTGACTGGCAGGTCTGGGGTGGGGCCTGACATGCTGCTTTTCCAGCAAGCACCAGGTGATGCTGATGCTGCTGCTCCTCGGCCACACTTTGAGAGGGCCTGGAGTTAACCCAAAGGAGCCATTCCCACCGGCCTCTCACGCCCAGGAAGGAGCTGCAGGCTAACGGAGAACCGGAACATGGTATTTTCTAGGGGAAAAACAAAGCAAAAAAACTTTACAGCTGTGAGGTCAATGACAAGATTCTGTGTCAAGTGACAAACCTGAAGTTTGGGGGTCAAGGGCAACAGGGAATCCCAAGAATGCTCCAGATTCTCTGACCTGATAAGGCTTATCCAACCCTTTTCCCAAGGAACAAAGTCAGAACCCCCCAGCTTGGGCAATCAGCACATACCCAATCTGATTCCTCAAACATTCAGTAAGTCCCTCCCAGGCCAGGTGCTGGGAATACAAAGAGCTCCCAGCGTAAAACTGAAAAGCAAGACGCTTAAGAGATAATTCTGGACTTCGGGGACAGTGACAAGATAACGCCAGGCCCTGTCTAAAGCCCAGAGCTTGGTTCAGTAGAGAGCATTCTCAGGAAAGCAACAATCAATAAAGTAATTCAAGTCAGAGCTCTAATTTTTGGAAACTGCAACACATGTGTGATAGGTGTGTAATACCACCTCATAGTGTGGAGAAAATTAATTAAAAATGGCTGAAAATGGTAAACTGTTTCACATTACTTCCAAGTGCTTTTATTAATAGCTAAACCAATGAAAGTGAGAGACCTTTTAACAGCTCCATACTTTCTTCAGGTAACTACAAAATGATCCAGACAGTCAACTTCAGACCTGATTCTCTTTTCTTTAAAAGTTGGACTTCGAGGCAGATACAGGTCCAGATGCCAAGTTCTCTGCATCATTTCAGTAATGCATGTGACGTGGCAAAATGAAACCTCAAGTGTGTTTACCTAAGAATGTGTGCCTGCCCCAGAGACAGTGCCAGGCCCCGCCTGGTAAGCAGCCTTTTCCTAGGAAACTGCTGATGAAAGCCATGCCTACAGACAACGCAGGATCTGTGTAGCTGGGGTTATTTTCCCCAACAAGGGTGCCCAATAAGGAATATAGTAAGATAACAGGATGGTAGGGATCGGTCCATGTTTCTCCAGTGGCCCTGAGAAAGAGGGTAACTGTCTGGGACTGGTACAATAGGTCCCATGGGCAGGACAGTCTGACCCTATAGAGGGGGTGGCTTTTGGGGGCTACCTGAGTTGCTGATGCTCTCCTAAGGGATTACAGGTATGGGGGAAGTATAAGACCCAAACACAGCAACTGCTACCTTTAGAAAGGGGTGTGGAATAGGGTGAGCTCTATCAGGGCACTTTCACTTTCCTGGTATCATTTGAATTTTATATAATGTTGAATATATTGAAACATTATTTGCATCATTAAAAATAAAAATTTAAAAAGCATGCACGAATCAAAACAGTTCCACAGCTTCCTTTGCATTTATCCCATACTCATCAAACACACAAGCCTGATTCCATTTGCCAAGACGTTCCAGAAGGAATAGGTTGAGCATTCTAGTCCACCTGGAGGTGTATTTCTTGATAAAAAATTAATTAATTGCATTGTAGGGCGCCACCTCTGGTGAGTTGGGTCCCTCTGACCCCAATCTTTCCTCCTCCATCTACTACTCCTGAACAGATCCCTCTCACCTGGCCACCACAGGGGTCTTTCAGAAATGCATTTTGGATCTCACCAATGCCCTCCCCCGACCCAGGATAAAAATCTACACATCTAGGCAGGACATGTACAACTCTGTGTCCTCCCCACAACAACCACACTCGTCCTCTGTAAGCTCACACCTCCTGGCTTTCTGCCCATCCTGCTACTCTGGAATACTCCTTTCCTCTTCTCTGCTCCTTGAAATCCTCCATATTCCTCAAGACTCAGCACAGCATCAGCCACCACCCCTGGCTGGTGTTCCCTGAGCCAGGCCTACTGCCTAGAGCTGGGGTCCTTGCTCTGGGCTTCCACATTGTATGGGGCTTACCCCGCAGTACAGTGAAACACAGTTAACCTCTTCATGGGTCTTTAATTCTGCATCCTCACACCTGACCCAAAGCAGGAGCTCCATAACTATGTTGCCAAAACTGAAGGAAGTTTTATTCCCATGGCCCTAATTATCAGGAAACTCAGAAAATTGAGTATCGGAACTTGCAAGAACAAACCCTAAGGGAAGTCAGTCAGCTTGCCTCTTTCTCCAACCTCCCACTTCCTGTACCCAGAAACGCCTGTGCAAGGCTTGCGGCGCCCTCAGGTGCCCTCAGGCACCCTCAACACACCGTTATGCTGGGCTACAAGAATCAGGTGGGGCCAGGAGGCTCAGCCTTTGTTTGTCCCTCAACCTCCTAGGAATGATAGCAAAAAAGGAACCAAACACTGATGACCTCATCAGAGATAATGCTAAACATCTCTTGATCCTAACTATTTCCTCTAATCTGTCAATGCGGGTCATTACATTAATTGACTAATGTTGAACTAATTTTGCATTCCTGGGATAAATCCAACCTGGTCATAAGGAATTACTTTTTTTAACTTTCATTTCAGATATTAAACTGCTAAGAACATATACTACATTTGATCTTAGCCAACAGGCCAGGGGGCAGGAAATACCCTTTTTTATACATTGCTGGATTCAGGATCCTAATACCTTGTAGAAAATTTTTGCATTTATACTCATGAGTGACATCGGCCTATAATTTTCTTGTCTTGTATCACCCTTATCAGATTTAGTATCATAGTTACGGTAGCCTCTTTTTCAATACTCTGGAAGAATTTGTGTAAAATTGGAATTACTTATTCTCTCAGTGATTGGCAGAACTCCCCAAGGAAGCCAGCTAGGCTCACAGTTTGAGGGAAAATCTTTGACTACTAATTCAATGGCTTTAATGATCATAGGCTATTTCAATTTTCTATTTTTTATTGAATCAATTTCGGCAAGTTGTATTTTTCTAGGTAATCCAAACATTTGGATTACAAAGATAACTGATATCTGGAATGCTGACCCTGAGGTGAACTCTGCAAGAAAGTGCATTGTGAATGATCAGAGAAGTAACAGCTCAAACGTGTAATGTCGGTTACAGTTTATAAAAATACTGCCCGTGTATTGCCTTGTATGAAGATCAAGGTCTGGGTGGCTCTGGTGACTTTTGTTGTCTAATTATTTGCAAAGGGATGGATAACTTCCTAGGTAAGCAGAACAGCTGATTCAGATCAACACCCTATTGCTAGCCACGCTAGAATATTTTGTGAAAGACTATGCAACTATTAAATTCCTCACTTCACTCCTGGGAGGCACTCGTCACTGACGCAAGAAGCAGCCACCAAGTGCCCTGGGAGTGAGTGTTGACATGAGAGTGTTAGGAGCGTTCTCAGCTCATGGAAACCTTCCCCAAGGCCCGGCTGGGAATGGAAAGTCTGGTGGCTAACACGGGTGGAACCCCCTCTGCCTAGGGTTCCAAGGGCCACTTGGTCCAGGACGCAGTGGGCAGCACCCGCTGGAACAAAGCACACTCACCAGGGCCTCAAAGTCCTTACAGTCGTGGCGGGCGTAGGACGCGGGGAAGGGCCGCAGCACCGAGTCGCGCTTGTAGCTCTGCAGGGCCGAAGCGAAGAGGCTGCACCGGAGGTCTGCGGCCAGCACGTCACGGTTCGCCGCCTCCCGCGCGGTCGCCCAGGCTGAGGGCTGCATCCCCGGTCGCTGCGCGTTGCCGGGAGAGCTGCGCGAGTCAGTGGCGAGGGCCGAGCCTGCGGTCAACGCGGGGACAATGGGCCGTCGGGGACCGGGATTCCCAGGCGTGGGGTGGAGCCAGGCAGGGCAATGAGATGGCAGGAGTGAGAACGCACTGCCGAGTGCCCTCTGCGGGGGTCCGCGCCGCGGCTCGCTGCCGAGGAGACTGGCCGGCGGCGGAGGAGAGAGACCCGCCCCGGACCGCGGGTCAGCGCGGGGGTGGGGCGCAGGGATAATGGGGACGGGGGTCCCAGGCCTCGGGGAGGGACTATGACATGGGATGAGATAACAACGGCGGGAACGTGCTGACACGTGTCCTCTGCAGGGACCTGGGGCGGGAAGCAGCCCCTGGGGGGAAGGAGGGCAGAGCCCCCTCCCCGCGCCGGGCGAGGCTGCGGCGCCGCCCGTGCCTTCCTGTCCCGCCTCCCACAGCGCCACCGAAGCCCCGCCGCCCGCCCGGCTGTCCTCGGCGCCGCCTGCGTCCCGGCCGCCGCGCTCCCACGCCGCCAGGCTCCGCCCAGCCCCTCCCAGGCCCGCCCCCTCCGCCGCGCGGCTGCGCCCCGCCCCCGGTTCCTACCCCGCTGCAAGACGTGCGGCCGCCTATGTGTGCCAGGCGGAGGTGCCTGCGCGGCCTCTCACCGCAGCCCTGGGTAGAGACTGACCCGGGTGCCCTCTTGAGCCGACCCTGGACTTGCCTTTGTCCCAGCTCGGCGGGCTGTGTCTGCTTCTCTCGCCTTGGAAAGTTGGAAAGTTGCTACCAGGCATTGTCGCCCTCTTGAATCATTTCCCTCCAAAATTTCGCAGAAGGAGCCATTTGACACCCAGGGAAACTGAGGCTCAGAGTGGTGCAATGCTTGTCCAAGATCCCACAGCCAGGCTTGGAAACCAGAAGACTTTTCCTCTGCCTTTCAGCAACCACAATTCTCTGAATTGCTTGTCTCTGGCCTCAGAGGCCCCAAGAGCCTCTTTTGGAGGCCTCTCCTACAGGGAGCATTGATTTAACTCTGCGGGAGAGAAGAGGCTAGACTCCCATGCCCTCACCCTACTCAGAACCTCATTAGAGGAAACCCCATGCACAGAAGGAAAGCATAGAGGAAAATCTAAGCACAGACCATTGCTGAATTCCTGGACCAAGAAGCCCCCTCAGCATACTGCATACACCCCCACCCTTCTGAGGGAGAAACTTCTCCCCCTTTCCACATCCAGGCTGTACTAGGCTCTGGGCTTAGAGGGAAGGTAGTCCATGCCATTGGATTGTGTGTGTGACTTTGGGAGGTGGGGCAAGACTGGACCCCCAGACACCCCAGAGCTTCCCAGGCCAGGCAATCGGTGTGGGCTGCTCCCAGGAGTCCACATCAAATCTCTGCTTGCTGTAAGGCCTAGAACCACCACAGTGTCAGAGAGCCTTATGGCCTCAGACGAGGCCTGTAGTGCCCAAAAAGTGCTGGGGGCCTCACGGGACTTTGGAACTCTAAGGTGGCTGCCGAAGCTCAGGCAGGAGACCTCGGGCCATCTCACATTCTGCCTCTTCTTCACTGCAGGCCCTTAGACGAAAGCCACCACCTGATACCTCCTTGGCCCCAAGTATTGTTTGCTGGATGTATCAGAACTTCATTCCTTTTTATGGCTGAATAATAATATAATCCATTGAATGGATATGCCACATTTTGTTTATCCATTTATCATGAATGGTCATTTGGGTTGTGTCTATCTTTTGGCTATTATGAAAAATGCTGCTATAAATATTTGTGTACAAATTTTTGTGTGGACATACGTTTTCATTTCTCTTGGGCATAGACTTAGAAATGGAATTGCTGAGTAATATGGTAACTCTATGTTTAATTAAATAAGGAAGTGCAAGATCATTTTCAAAAGTTGCCACACCATTTTACATTCCCACTAGCAGTGTACAAGTATTCCATTTTCTCCACCTGCTCAACAACACTTGTTATTTTATAGTTTTTTATTCTAGCCATGCTAGTGGGTATGAAATGCTATCTTAGTGATTTTGATTTGCATTTCCCTGATGACCAATGATGTTGAACATCTTTTCATGTGCTCATTGGTCATTTATATATCTTCCTCGGAGAAATGTCTATTCAGATCCTTTGCCCATTTTTTTTTTTTTTTTGAGACAGAGTCTTACTCTTTTGCCCAGGCTAGAGTGAGTGCCGTGGCGTCAGCCTAGCTCACAGCAACCTCAGACTTCTGGGCTCAAGCAATCCTTCTGCCTCAGCCTCCCGAGTAGCTGGGACTACAGGCGTGCACCACCATGCCCGGCTAATTTTTTCTATATATTTTTAGTTGTCCAATTAATTTCTTTCTATTTTTAGTAGAGACGGGGGTCTCGCTCTTGCTCAGGCTGGTCTCGAACTCCTGAGCTCAAACAATCCGCCCGCCTCGGCCTCCCAGAGAGCTAGGATTACAGGCGTGAGCCACCGCGCCGGCACATAGTAAAGTTTGAAATCAGGAAGTGAGTCCTCCAACTTTGTTCTTCTTTTTCTAGATTGTTTTGGCTATTCTGGGTCCCTTGAAATTCAGTAGAAATCTTAGAATTAGCTTATCACTTTCTACAAATAAGTCAGATAGGACTCTGATAGAGATTGTGTTGAATCTGTAGATCAGCTTGAGGAGTATTGCCATCTTAACAATATTAAATCTTCTGATACATGAACATAGGGATGTTTTTCCATTTACAGGCATACTTTGCTTAATCATGCTTCACTTCATTGTACCTTGCAGGTAGTATGTTTTCTACAAATTGAAGGTTTGTGACAACTCTGCATCAAGCAAATCTATCAGTGCCATTTTTCCAATAGAATGTACTCGTTTCATGTCTCTGTGTCAGCATTTTTTAGCAATAAATTATTTTTAATTAAGATATGTGCTTTTTAAATACACAATGTTATTGCATACTTAATAGACTACAGTGTAATGTAAATATAACTTTTGTATGCACTGGGAAAACAAAAATTTTATGTGACTCACTTTATTGCAATGTTTGCTTTAGTGTGGTGGTCTAGAATTGAACCCACGATATCACCAATGTGTGCCTGTATTTAGATCTTCTTTAATTTTTTTTGGCAATGTTTTGTAGTTTTCTGAAATAAATGTACTTCTTTTGTTAAATGTATTCCTAAATATTTTATTCTTTTTCATGCTATTGTAAGTGAAATTGTCTTCAGATTGTTCATTATGAGTATGTAGAAATACAATTCGTTTTCATATATACATTTGTATCCTAAAAACTTACTGAACTTGTTTGCTGCTTCTAATAGTTTTGTAGTGGATTACTTAGGATTTTCTATATTGAAGATCATGTCATCTGTGAATAGAGAATTATTTTATTTCTTCCTTTCCAATCTGGTTGCCTTTTATTATTTTTCTTGCCTGATTGCCCTGGCTGAAACTTTCAGAACAATGTTGAATAGAAGTAGTGGCAGCAGATACCTTGTCATGTTCCTCTTACCAGGAAAGCATGGATGCCTTTTTTTAGTACGATGTTAACTGTGGGTTTTTCAGATATGACCTTTGTCAGGATGGGGAAGTTCCCTTTTACTTCTAGTTTGTTGAGTATTTTTGTCATGCAAGAGTGTTGGATTTTGTCACATGCTTTTTCCCCATCTATTGGGATGATCTTGTGTTTTTTCTCTGTTTTTTTTATTCTATTGATGGTTTTTACACTAATTGATTTTCAGATTGTTAAACCAACCTTTGTCAAATAAAAATTATAGGAGGCCATTGTTTTCAACTAATCTTCTGCACTAGGTCCCAATAGACCAGGCTAAAAACCAAAACAGAGTCACCCATTCTAAAGTTTCAGGTCAGCAAATCCAAACTTGGAAGAAATCAGGAGAAAGATATAACAACCAAATTCCTGAAACAGGTCAGTTTATTATTTTTTTTAACATTATTTTTATTTTTTTAATTAAAAAAAAATTTTTTTGAGACACAGTCTCTGTCACCCTGGCTAGAGTGCAATGGCATCATCATAACTCAGCAACCTCCAACTTCTGGGCTCAAGCGATCCTCCTGCCTCAGCCTCCCAAGTAGTTGGGACTACAGGTGCCTGCCACCAAGCTGGGCTAATGTAACAGGCCAGTTTAAATCTTCAATTGGCATGATAATGAGGTTCCCTCTGCTTTAATCCTTACACAGAAAACATATCCTGAAATAATCTGATGTTAACTAATTAGGCTTTTTTTTGTAGTTGTATCTCCTTCCCAGCAAAAGTAACTTTGAAACAAATCATGCCATGTGCTCTGTTTTTTGCTTTGGCTTTCCTTATCCCTTCTCTGCATATAAAGCCAACCCCTTCTGCTCAGTTCATCTGAACACTTATTCTATTTTATGGAATAAAGTGTTGCCCAATTCTAGAATCACAGATAAAGCCAATCGAAATCTTTAAATGTATTGTAATTTTGTTTTTTGACACCTTTCATTACTAAAATAAATAAATCCCACTTAATCATGATGCGTAATTCTTTTTATATATTGCTAGATGTTGTTTGCTAGGATTTTATTGAGGATTGGATTTTTGCACCCATATTCATAAAAATATTGGTCTGTAGTTTTCTTGTGATGTATTTGTCTGGTTTTGGTATCCGGGTAATATGGGCCTCATAAAATTAGTTGGGAAGTGTTCACTCCTCTTTTATTTTTTGGAAGAGTTTGTGAAGAATTGGTATTAATTCTTTAATATTTGGCAGAATTTAATGCTGAATCCAGGTGAGCCTGGGCTTTTCTTTGTGGGTAGTTTTTTTGATTACTAATTCAATCCCTTCATTTGTTACAAGTCTTTTCAGATTTACTACTCTTGAGTCAGTTTTGGTAGCTAGAGTTTTTCTAGGAATTTATCTATTTCACCTAAGTTTTCTAATTTATTGATATACAATTGTTTATAGTATTCCATTATAATCCTTTTATTTCTGTAAATTAAGTAGTAATGTCTTTCTTTCATTTCTGATTCCATAGTTGAGTCTCCTGTCCTATTTCTTGGTCAATCTAGCCAAAAGTTTGTCGATTTTGTTGATCTTTTCAAAGAACCAGCTTTGTGTTACATTGACTTTTTTCAATAAATATACTGGGAAATTTTGGGGAGATGTGCAACAATTTGAAAAAAACAAACCACATATCTTAGAAATATAAAAAAAGAATAAAAGGTATGTCATGAATGCATAATATATATATATATACACACACACTAGTCCATGTTATCATTTACTACCATAAAATATACAAAAATCTATTATAAAAAGTTAAAATTTGTCTAAACTGATACATGCAAACACTTAACATACATGGCACCATTTGCAGTCAAGAAAAATGTAAAC